AATTTGCCATCATGCTTGTTGTAAATGTCAAAAGATACTCACATGTTTTATTTTCGCCTCTTTTTTCATTTCGTGCATTGATTTAAACATTTTATAGCCTGTCTCACACATTCTGTCTTGTCTGGTCTGGTATGCAATATTTCTTCTTGGTTTCATTGTTTACTCTTCCTCTTCTCATGCTACCACAATCTGTTTTCTTCGTATCACCAGATGCGCCACTCAATATCCGCCCTCGAGTTGTCGTCTGGTCTTCCCGGGCAGCCTGGAAAGCCAACACCCTCACCTCTTGTCGGCGCCTCTGGTCCACATTCTCAGACCTCTAAGCTCGGGGTCAGCAGTCCAACATCTTCTCCAGGTAATGTCACCGCTGCCACATTGTCACTCAGCAATGCAGTTCGTTCACCTCTTTCCCATTCTGTTGTTGGGAACAGCCAAGATCAGCTGCCACTCTCTTCACCCGGCAACCTTTTCATCACAGGCAACGAGGCCACCCGACGTCGCGTACGGGCGCAGGAGTCCAATATGATGGCTCCTGTGTCTTTCTAGCTTCCATGAGTAGTTGGAAATATAACAATGGCTTTATCACCCACCGTGAATATTTGGATTGAGTCAAAATAGTGAACGCTGCGTGTTGAATATTCGCTTTTTTGCCACTATTTTTTCCTATATCGCATGCTTACATCTACGTTCTTTTCAGATTTCTAAACTTTCAACATCATTTTTATCCTGTTTCCTTCACTCCTCACTCTCCTTTGTCTTTCGCCGGCACTTGCTTTTATCTGATTAGTCAAACAATTTACTTCGGCCTAGCTGCCGCTTATTTGAACCCAAGCAGTGAAGCGCACTTGTGAGTCCCCATCTCTTAATAGGGTCATATTTTTCACTTCAAATCAGATTGCTAATCCAGATAATTTGGAGAAGGCTATGCTGGATACATCTCTTAAAACAGCCATAATTATTTCTATAAGTTACTGACCTTCTTTCTTCACTTATTGAGGTACGTGTTCTTTCTGTCCATTCTTAGCCTTAACCATAATTTTGAACCGCATCTTCTCTTTAGTTTGCCTTCTACAAATTCTCTCAGCCTCTTTATCATTTTACTTATAATTCCTCTTTGAGTATTTAGTATTCACAGTATATCTCTTTATTGCTAATGTCTTCCATACCAATGCTTAGATCATGTGCACATTTGGGGCTATTATTTTGTGAATAATCTT